GGCAGCACCTGCCCCCTGGGCTTCCCAGGGCCACACTGCGGAAATCAGGTAAGCCCAGGGCCCCCCGATCTGCCCCGGGGGATCCTCACTTCTCTGCTGCTCCCTCCTGCAGGGATGGGCTGCTGAGCCCGGTGGGATTGCTCTGCACTGCATACATGTTTACGCACAGGTGGCTTGGGACCCTGTTTTAATTATATTTGAGATATCATGTTACTTTCTTAGTTCAGCAGCTGTTTGAGAAGTTGCCCTTCTGCTTCTGCCTTTCCAAATGGACCCGTATCCCACGAGAAATTCCCTTCCCAACCCATGCTGCAATTCAAATCTGCTTCTTGGGGAGGCATTGGGCTGAACAGGGGGCTTGGTACAATCCCTGCAAATCAACGCTGGAGGGTTTTCTCTGCATTTAACAAAATACCCTTGAACTACCTTAAAGCATTCGTTACTGATTGATGTGCACCTCTGTCACAGCCAGGCAAATGCACAAAGCAAATATTTGATGAGATATTAAAAGTAAGTTTGTGATTGTCAAGGACTGCTAAGCATCTGCCACTGCTTAACAAAACTAAAGTGCTTCACATGCCGCTTGTGAAAGGCACAGGAAGTCTTGGTGATTGCTAACAGAGTGAGATCCCAGCCTTGTTATCTCTGCTTATCACAGTCCAAAGTAATTAAATGAAATGATTAACCGGCACACCCAGGCCTGCCGGCTGGCAGAGGGGCACTTGCTGCTGCCTGACAGTACAAGCATTTCCAACCAGTAAGTTCTATACCCCAGACAGCTCAGCAAGCCTCAAACCTGATGGGATTTCCCTCTTCCCAATACCTGTGCATGAGTGCAAAGCTCAGTGGGTGACTGTGGTGACATCCAGGTCCTCCACCTTTGGGGTGATTGCAGGTGATGATGTGTGAGCAGCCTTAGCTGGTGGGTGCAGTGCTGGGGTAAATGGGGAGCCCCAGCCCTGTGGGCTGTGGTGCTGGCACAGGGCTCAGCAAGGGTAAGCAGGACTGGGAGCACTGGTTGAACTGGGGAGGCTGGCTACACCTATGGGAGAACACTGGCTGTACTAGTGGGGAGCTCAGGCCACACTGGTGAGCAGCATGGGCATGTGTTCAGCAGAGAGGCAGAGGCAGGAACAGTTGTGATATGGGACAGCAGTGCTGGGAGCTGCAGGGATGTGTCCCTCAGCCCTGCTTTACATTTCCATTAGAGTTTTCTCACCCTTTCTGCCCCCATGACCTCATGGGTTTCATTCCTGACCAGCAGGGCTGAGTGAAGGTGAGGGGACCAGGGCGTGTGCATCTAGTGCCCCGAGACAGCCACCTGATAGCTGGGAACTGCTTCCCACGGCAGCCACATTGAGTTACACTCACCCTATTGCATTATAAATACCAGAATTAGCCTTGCTTAATTATTTAAAACTATAGATTAAAAGCAGACAAAGGCTCTCTGCCTCCTTTCCAGAGCACACGTATCATTTATCAGTGATACGGTCGCCTGGTGACAAGCAGAGGGGAGTGTGCCAGGTCCATCGGTATGAGATGCTCCTGAGCTGCTGGCACGGCAGGAACCAGAGGAGAGGAAAATCACAGTGAGAATGAGAGTTGGCACCATCTCACCCAGGGAGGGTAATAATTAGCATCTGCCACTCTTTGAGCTCACATTATTATTATTATTATCATTATCATCATTATTAACATCATCATCATCCATTGCCAGGGCAGTAAGCCAGAGCAGTCAGCAAGATAATGTGAATTTCAGGTATTTTGTTCTAGGCTCAGCTGTGTAACAGGGACACACAAGTCAGCTGGGGTGATAAGGTGTGTTTTGTGGGCTCAGCTGTGGGTACTCACCCACCAAAGGGTGTCCAGGCACTGTGAGCCTCCCCATCAGGCAGCATCCACATCTCATTCACTAAAGCTGGCACCTGGATGCCTTGCTCTGCCTTAAACACACCAACCCTGCAGAAAAGGGCTTCCCAAAGTAAATGCCTGACTTTGAGGTCAAACCTCTTCCCCTGGCAGCAGATCCTCTGCAACACAGGTGCACACCTGAAAGATGCTGTCAACTCACAAAGCTTCAGGGTTTTTGGAGACTGACATGCAATTCTTGCCCTCTCCCATGTTGCCAATCCCAGCTATTCTGTGTTTCTAAAATACAATTAATTAACACTAGAAAAAAAGCATGCAAATTAGAAAATGCTACCATTTGAAGTATCTAAACAAAAAGACAAACCTTCAGCTTCATTCTTTGCAGGACTTAACATACTACATCACCTTATCTGCCTTTACAGTCTCAGAGGAAAAGCTTTAGAGCCAAACTCCAGCTCCACTTCAGATACTGGAATGCATTGACTGAAAGTTCATACTCTAAAATGAAAAAACTTAACTTCTGGTTAGCAGGTAGAAGGGTGCCAGGGCTTAAAAGTAACAGAGGTCCAGTTTAAAGATACCACACACCTTCACCTGCACATGCAAACCCTTGGAGGGAGTGAGGACAGGCCTGTTCCTCTCAGCTTTCCCAAGAGGGGTGTGAGGGATGGTACCCTCACCCTGGGGAAAGGAGAGCTCCCAAGGGAGCAGATGCTATTGGGGTACTTAGGCCAGAAAAGGAAAAATTCCTTGACTGCAGTTAAAGTGTCAGAAACTCACGTTATTTCCCAGGCTCTCATTACTTGTGTAAATAGCTTTAAACTCGCTCTGCTGACCTGTACTGATGTGTTGGTTTTGCAGCCACATGACTTGCAGGACGTGTATGACCAGCTGCTTTCAGCAGCCCTTCATTAATCTCCTGGTTCTTAAAAAAGGACACATTCATGAATAAATCCCAGGCATCCAGAAAAACAGAGGTTCTTTCCTGTAACCACAGTTTTAAGTGATCATTTCTGCCCAGAAAACAGTCCCTTGGCTCAGTGGTTTTACAAACCCAAGTCCAGGGCTCTGACACTGGATGTCCTGAGGTTTTTGTCCAGTCTCATCCCTTCTACCAAGTAATAGGGTCTCAGAAATACAGACAGCAATGTCCTCTGAGTATGGATCCCATTCCCAAAATAATGCATTCTGCCTGTTTTCATATGGGTGGCATTTCACAGAGGACCATTCTCTGCCCAGAAAGGGATGCTCATACAATATTTTTAACAAGAGCAGTTTGATCATCATCTGGCCACACTGACAAACCTGTCCTGAGATGCTCTAGTTGGAAAATCAGTTCTCAAATGACACAGACAGCAGAAATAAAACACTGTGAACTGCATTTGCTTTCTAGATTTCAGCTAAAGCTAAACACTGACCTATGGTATAGAAGGTAGCATCAAAAGTTAAGGTTAAGGATGCAGGTGGCATGGAAAAGTGCCAAGCTATGTGCAGGGTAAAGGCGAGTGGGTCACAGAGGGCAGGATGCCAAGGATATCTTGGCAAACCAAAAGTCAGAGAGAGAAAGCGTTTCACATGAAAACCTGCAAAAAGCAGCTGGTGTCCTGCTGCACCCTCCTTTCTCCTATACAGGTGCAAGTCGAGAGGTGCTGGGCAGGAGCCCAGACCTCCAACCTACAGGTTTGTAAACCCAACAGCTATGGATTAATTTTGTTTCCAACCTCTTTAGTTTTTCCCCTTGTAGAGAACAGCTGTAGCCATGTAGGCAGCCATAAGCAGAGCTGCACCCCTCGGGTTACCTGCCTTTTCCAGGGCTGTTAATCCCCTTAACATTCCTGGGGATTATTTCCATCCCGACAGGACGGTAGAACAGGCTGCCAGCAGCAGCACAGGGAGCAGCACACAGTCCTAGAGGGGCTCACAGGGCAACCAAGCACTGAGAGACAAGTTGCTTAATCCTAAATAAATGCTCTGTGAAGGGCATGTCCTCCAAGTGAGGGAAAACCAAAAAGCAGCAGCCACAACCACAAAGGGAAGTGTAGCTCAGCTCCAACAGTGGCTGAACCCTCATGTCCAACGTCTGTCCTTGGGTATAAGCCAGTCCTCCACCTCCTCTTCCTTCTCCTCTCCAGCAGCAGGCTAAAACCTTTCTCCTTCCCTCAGGTTGCACAAAAGCCACTCAGAACCCCAAGCAGAACCCTGTTTTATACTCATAATAAGGTGATGTTAATACATTTTGCAACATTTGTGCCTTCAAAGAGTTAGAGTTGCACCAAAGCTGCCTGATATCCTATTACCCCAAAGACTGGGGCTGAGCATAATCAGAAGTGGAAACAATTTGCCCCAGGACTGCAAGCTGATGATTTTATCACAACTCTCAAAAGAACTGGGGAATTTATAAGCATTTCCAGGCAATCTGAGCAGCAATTTGGGCTTTGCCTTAGGTCAGAACAGACCAGTCATTAAATGTCATTTTTCTCCTCAGCCAGTCCCACACCCTGGGGCAGGGAGGGTGGCTGGTGTCTGGGCCATCTCAAAAATGCTGAAAATTACCGGTGGCATCTTCTAGAAAACTAATCAAGACTGGGAGCTCATTTCACAGCTCTGGTTGGAAGAGGAGGTAACTCCATGCGTGAGGTCCAAGTGTCTGCCAGGGGCCCTGATGTCCTCATCATGGCAGCCTCACTTTTTACTAACAGAAAAGCAGCTAGAAACACACCTTTCTAGAAAGCCTTGAGGTTCTAGAAATGAGGAAAGGGCAAATATCTAAGAGCAAGCAGAAGACCGAGTGTGTCAAAGCAAACACAGCTACTTTTTATAAGCAACACTCCAAAGCAGACCTATTTGAAAAGTCACACTGTCTTTCTGAGTACAGGAAAGGGTATTAACATCCACACATATTTTTTCATTTGTCTTGCCAAGAACAATACAAAAATGCCCAACGACTTTTGTTGATTTATGATGGTGGCCAAGGAGGTGCCAGAGGAGAGCCTTGTTCATTGATCTACGGCTGAATCATGCAAAAACAGACATCCTGCTGTAAATCCACTGCAGAGACCTGGCTTGATTTACACCTCCAGCACTATAAATAATGACAAAAAGCAGCCTGATAGCAGTCTGTCTCCCGTTACAGGGACATGAATTACATCAGGTCTTGAAGATGATAGATCTACTCCCTGAGAAACATTTTGCATTGGGCCCCTATTTGCCAACCTGCAGGAGAAAGGATCATCCATCCTTACTCCCAGTGTAACCCCAAGCTGTGTTTCAGACATGCCAATCTTTTTATGTTCTCATTTTTCCTTTTCTGCTCAATGCAAATGAAGACATTCATTGAATTTTTCCAGGTTGAAGGCATCTGAAAGTTTAAAGTGCTCTTCTTGTGCAGACATTCAAGTCTCTTTCCAGTCCTAGTCAGTGCTTTGACTTTGTCCCTGGGGCAGCAGCATAGACACCCACTGGAAGCCAAACCCTCAAGGCCACTGTCTACACACCTGTAGGTACATCTAACACAGTGAAATCCGAGCACAGAGCTGCCTGCTGTGTCCTGGCCCCCACAGAGTTGTTCAGGCAAACTGAGCTTCTCATGAGGATTTCTGCATGCTGGTTTAACAGTGCCTGGACAAAAATGCTTCCAGTCTGTTTCAGTTCCTCCCACTCCTTCCTTCCCAGTATTTTCTTTATTTGTACTAGTTTCAGGGGAAAGTTACCCATCTGCCTTCAGTAAACAGATTGATAAATTTCTATTTCTTTACAAGCCTCAGCCGTACAACCTTAGATTCTGCAGCCTGGAAATCACCACATTAGCTGATTCAAAACCTCCAGGATTGCTACAGTGCTCCCCCAAAATGCTGCTTAAGCAGAAGGTCCCCCAAAGGAGGGAGGACCCTTCCCTGAACATCCAGGCTGTTTGGGGGAAACACAAGACCAAACTGAAAGGTTGGATGACACCATGCAACGGCGCTGTACACTGCTGGGAATTAGCCCTATGAATGTGGGGATAGCCTACTCCAAGCAAATATCCTGGGATCTGGGTCTTGGGGGTAGGGAAGAAGGGACTCCCACTCCTGAGTTGCAAAAGGAAACTCACATGCACAGAAAGCGGGGGAAAACAGTACTTTTTAAGTAGCAGTGCTGCACCAGTGCCCCAAGAGCTAATCCAGTTTAGCAACAGGACTCAAGAGCCCCGTGGGTCCAGAAAAAAACCACCAAAGTCACTTGAGTTACAGCCATTTACAGCATCAAGGTTGGTCCTTCAGGCTTGGTTGGCTGTGTAATCCTTCCACGCTTGCTGCTCACTGCATAATCCCCTAGCAGAGCACAACAGGCAGATTTAAGATGGGCAAATCCAAGATGATTATGCCCTAGCTCTTCTGATGTGTCAGGATTTGGTACCCAGCACATAAGCAAGTGTGAGTACCTGTGTCATTGAAGGCAGCTCTGGTCTAAACAACAGCACAGGAACAGTGGGAAAGGGCAATAGGATGACACAGTGACACTGAGGCTAGTCTGTTAGTATAGCTGTCCAAAACCAGTGTTTCTATTAAAAACACCTGGAATTTTATGTAAGTTACTCCATGGAGAGACATTTTTGTTTGAAGAATGAAGACATTGCTTTGCCATTTGAAACAGGAGCTCAACCATTCCATTCATGCCAAAACAAACCTTTGCTTTTATACCTTCCTTCCTTGTATTTTGTCTGCCTCTTCTGTGAGAAAATAAAGAACAAAAAAGGGAAGAAGAGAAAATCAAAGCAATTTTACCCGAGTGAAAATCTGATATGTTTTCTCATTGTTCAAAACCTGGCTTTCATCTCACAAATATTAGCCATGAAATTGCACTGCCTTAACCCTTGGCTGTTCTTCAGTCCCTGCATCTCTCTGGAAGGCAGTGCTGAGCCCTCAGTTTCAGCCTGTGGAGTCCAGCCCTGCAGGGGTTTGAGTCAGCCTGGCACTTGCCACCAAACATCAAACCACACCACCTTCCCTACTGCCAGCAGTGATGTGTGATCCCAGAGGAAAATAACTTGATACAAAAAAAAATCACTGGTTCCAGCTTCCAAGTGCCCTTTAAATATGTACCGAACTATTCACCCCAATTACACTCCTGTAATGAGCTCTGATTTGTTTTCCTTTTTTCCCAAAGCAGTAGGGCACTGGCTACATTAACAATCAATGAGAAGTTGTTTGATATTGAATCATTTCTTCAGCAGCATTATTCCTTACACAATCCCATTTGATTGCAATCCACTTCACAGTTGATAAGTACTTACTGACTATGAAAGAATGACCCAGCCTGCTTTCTCTTGCCTTTTTTTATTGATTTCTCTTTAAAAAAGGTTTTATTCCTTTCATACTTAAGGTTGAAATAAGAGAAAGAGGCAACATTACTGAACAACTGTTTTCCTTACAGCTCCATCAACCCATATAACTTCACACTAGGCCCCAAAAAATACTGTAATAATGAGACACTTAAAGACATGAAACTGCCTACACCCTTTTTCTTGGACTTTTTGTTCTTACTGGTAAACTTCCAAATTGTTCAAGTGAATAGTCAGGAATAAACTGCCCTTTCTGAGCCCCTGATTAGACCGTACACTGAATAATTGGAGGCAGCCCCACTGTGCTCCACATTTAAAGACGCAGCCCACCGCATGCAGTTTGTCTTATAACTTGTGCTTTTTGTAAAGAGAAAATGTACAGAACTTGGAAAACACCAGCAGTGAGTATGCCCTGTGGTTTGCCTGAAATCTAAGCTGCCATCCCTTCCAAAACAGTGGGTTCTTGTTCTTACATCCAGAACATAGAAATTATTACAGCATGATCACAGACTGCATGGGAGATGATGCTATTCTTGGCACTGGGCTCGATCCTGGTGAGTAGGTCAGCAGGATATCAGCAAAATCTTTCCTTGACAAGAGGTTTCAGATACAGCAGCAATTCCTCAGGCCACTGCTTCAGAAGCCTCTCAAATCCCACAGCATCCTCTTGTGTTACAGGACTGATGGCCTCAGCCAGGACATCCAGAGCAACAGCTCAGCACAGTCCACATCCATGGCTGCTTCCAGTTTTAGTTAGACCTATCTTACATTAATTAATCCTTGGCACTAAATGCTGCAGCCACCGAAGCGAGCGGCTGGCAAGTAATTTAAGTGATCTAATTAATATGTGTCTCATCCACAACGCAAAGGGAATGTTTTTTAAAACCTCTAAAAACCCTCAGCAGCATGCGAAGGCACGTGCACTCAGACACTGACACCAGTGTCGAGCAGCCAGGACAGGCACCATCTCTTCTCCTCTGTCTTGGCCAGGGGAGGAGAGCCCCAGTGTGTTCACACACCAAGAAGGGTGAGAATTCTCATGCAAACAACTCTCTTTTCTTCTAGCATCGATGTACACTGAAATACAGCGAGAGCGACCAGATGGTAGGAATATCCTGACTCAGCCAGACTACATAGATGGAAACCCAGACCTCATCAAACCTAAAAAGCTCCTAAATCCTGTAAAAGCCTCAAAGAGCCACCAAGAGCTGCACAGAGAGCTGCTGATGAACCACAAAAGGTAAGAGAAGGTCACAGCCTACTGCTGGAGCAGTCCAAGAGGTGTTAAGCCATCAGAGCTCAGGAGCTGAGGCACAGGTGCCTCACAGACTGCAAGCTGGAAGGGCATGATAAACCAATAAACCCCTTCACTTGCAAACAAACACAGTGTTAAACTTGCTGTAGACCTTTCCTCTTCTCTCTGACATGACAGTTTCTTTCAAAAAAAAAGCAGAACCAAAAAGGCCCTGGTCTGCCATCCTGTTGCATCAGCTGGCACTTTTTGGAACCACAAGCACTGGAAGATGCAAGGCATCCCTACAGCCCCTCTCTTGGTGTCCCATGAAGGTTTTCTGCTTTTTCTATCTCCACCACTGACTTGCCAAGCCCCCTGCAACCTACAGCATTCCTCTGTGCTTGAAGGCCAACCCAGAGGCAGGAAAAGAGGCAGGCTGGATGGAGGCATTGAAAACTAGGGGAGCACTGGGGTGAGATCATCTGATGCTAATTATTAAATCCCTAGAAATCAAATGGATAAAGACAGGCTAGAATTCATATTCCTGACTTCTTACCCCATCACCCCAAATTAACTCTTCGTGGGTACAGACACAACACCATGAAAATTACACCAGTGACTGAGAACCTACAACCACACCATTCCTTTGCAGCAACTGTCTGAACATCAGTGCAATACAATCATATTCAGCTCAGAGGCTTTTAAGCACAGCAAGAAATCTGCTGGCTTTATATTGACGTTTTCTGAACACCCTGAAATACCCTGACACAAAGCTCTTTGGCCACCTAATTAAAAGGAGCACAGCCTGTGTTCCAAAGGACTGCAGTCATCACAGGAACCAGACACGTATATTAATTCAGGGAACAATCAAGCCTGCCAGCAGGGTGCATTAATCAATACTGGCACTGGCTGGGCTTGGGTTTGATTTGATTTTCCCAGAATCAGAAGAATTACAGGGACCATTCTCTGGCATCAAGGCAGAGGTAACTATATCAGACAGATATTTTTAAAACTCTCTGGCTTGAGAGTGACCATCTCCTCAGCAGTGATACTGCTCAGTTTAAAGGGTCACCTACCAGCACTGGCTTTGATCTCACCGAACATTTTTCCAGTCTCACCATGATGGAACAAAGAATCAAGAAATCCCTGCAATGGAGGCAGCAGAGATGAGCAGTGGCAGATAGGGTACAGGCCCCACAGCATCAGGCTGAGCTGAGCTTCACACTGGGAGACACAAAGCACATCATCTCTTTTTATTCCAGTTCTGTGCCTGCCACCAAGTTACATCCACATGTGCCATCAGGTACTGGCAGGAGGCAGCCCCATTGCAGCCATCCTGCAATTCATTACTCCTCTCCGTAGTGTCCTGTATGTCTCATGTGTCAGTTTAAACCTGCTTTGGCTCTGACCTCTCAAGTATTTTTCAGCAAATAACGTGAAACAAACCAACCACAAATGATAAAACATCATTGCTGGTTTCTTGTCACTCTCAAGTCCATCAGTTTTGCTTCCTGCTACATGTTACTACAGAGGGAA